TTAACCTAACCCTAAACCTAACCCTAACGCTTAACCTAACCCTAAACCTAACCCTAACGCTTAACCTAACCCTAAACCTAACCCTTACCTTAATGTGAATCGGCTTGCTTTCAAAGCGCTTTTTAAAGCGCTCTTTTTTCTCCGCGGTCGCTGTTGTCGTGCTGCTGATGATGTCAGTGACGCGCTTTAATCGGGCGCGCTTTAGTGGACCGCGGTTTTGTCGTGCCACGAGTCAAATTGGCACCTCCCAAGCTCCTGGTACACTTCAGCATTATGTTGTAAACAGGTAAACTGTTGTATGCAATTACATTTGCTTTATGAATATATTTTTTATCTCTTAAAAAAACTAGTTCATGGGCAGTTGAGACTATTGCATGCTACAACAGTATCTGGACTTGTGAATTTACAGGAACTGGATGCATCATTCTGCAAAGACCAAGTTTCCAGAGTTGGTTACAGGGACAGACAACTGTATGTTTAAGAGATTGGATGTTGTTGGATTCATGGATGGATGGATGGATGGATGGATGGATGGATGGATGGATGGATGGATGGATGGATGGATACAATATTCCAAATAAGATCTGTAGAAATACAGCTTCCTCAGATCTAGAGTCTGTTATTTCAGCTATTACTGTTTTCAAGAAATGATTTTGACAACAGTTAAACACCAGCTGTTAGCTTTAGAATCCATCCCCAAGTTTAGCCATTCACTACTGTTGTTGAATTGATATACTGCATTAGTAAAAGCTGTCTCAAAAGAGACGCGATGGCTTGGTGGCTAAGACATTGAGCTTGTTGATCAGAAAGGTTGGCAGGTGGGCGGCTCAAACCCCTAGTGCCACGTAACAGAGTAAGCTCCCGTTACTTGTCTGCCAACCTAGCAGTTTGAAAGTATGTAAAAATGCAAGTAGAAAAATAGGAACCACCTTTGGTGGGAAGGTAGCAGTGTTCCAGTGGTGGGTTGCAGGCGGTACGCCCTGGTACGGGTGTACCAGAGCCTGCCCGGAGCACCGGGTACCGTTCCAGTACGGTGCTCCAGAGAGCCCACCTGCCAACCCGGACTCCTTATCTGCCTTCAAAGTCTTTGGTGCTTGCACGCACGGCGCATACAATGCCTGCACGATGCTCCACCGAGCAGCTGGAGCATCAGAGGCTCGCTGAACGGTAAGACCCATGTGGATAACGCCGGGCCCGTTCCAATCGTACCAGTTGGAACGGGATCCAGAACCCACCACTGTAGTGTTCCATGCGCCTTTGGTGTTTAATCATGCCGGCCACATGACCAGGGAGACGTCTTCGGATAGTGCTTGCTTTTCGGCGTAGAAATGGAGATGAGCAACGCCCCCTAGAGTCGGGAACGATTAGCACATATGTGCGAGGGGAACCTTTACCTTTTTACCTTTTATTAGTAAAAGGCTTACAGTTCCATCATTGGCAACTCCAGGTGAGGTTGGGAAACTGAGCCTATGGAGAACAGCTGCCAGCCAACAATGAAGTCAAATACTGCTATACTACAGCTTAGCACTGTTATGAGCTCAAACAACATAATTTGCACATCATGGTTTGTGGCTCAGCTTTATCTATGTATCCAGCCATTGAATTCTGCTCATCTAATAATGGTTAACATAAACTACTCTTTAGAATATAAATTAGACAGTCAGACAGATAAAAAATAGTGAACCCAGCTAGTGCAGATATTGTTGTGCTAGAATCAGATCAATGAAGCTTTCTTACATTCTTCTGTATAGCCTCATCTTAAATTGCAAAACAGTTGAAACAGTTATGGCAGAGTAGACTGTTTCTAAAAAGGCAGAGAATTTACCCAAATGCATTTTAAAGAGCAGTTTGTATTGCCTCTGATTAGGGAAGCAATGCAGAGCCAAGCTGAAAAATCTAGAGGACTCTTACTGTAGCAGGTGAGCCTGGCTGGCCTCCTTTTGTTTCTCAGGGACTTCATAATGAGGGGACATCTTCCCCAAACCGCTGTCACTCAACATGCGCTTTCGAATAGCAGGATTCCACCGATCAGACATTCTGGGAAAAGAAACATTTTCAAATAGGAAACATGATGATTGCTTCCTAAAACAACTTATTTTTCAGTTTTTTGTCTGTTTGGTTGGTTGGTTGGTTGGTTGGTTGGTTGGTTGGTTGGTTGGTTGGTTGGTTGGTTGGTTGGTTCAATCAATGATTCCCCAAATTTCTTGCCCTCTTCTGCATTATCCTCTTGCTTATTCATTTGCTTCTTGGAGCAATTTTATAAAATTGTATACAAATTGCAACACTAATGTTAGGCTCAACAATTAACTTAGTGAGAGTTGAGAAAGATGAAAAGCACATATAGATTTCTCATAGATGACTAATGGACTAAAGGCAGCCCTAGACTTACAACAGTTCATTCAGTGACTGAAGCAGCGGTGGGTTGCAGATGGTATGCCCCAGTACAGACGTACCGGAGCCTGCCCGGAGCACCAGATACCGTTCTGGTACGGTGCTCCGGAGGGCCCACCCGCCCGTCTGAGCTCCTTAACTGTCTTTTAAGGCTTCCGTGCATATGCATGGCGCATACAGCGCCTGCGCGATACTTGCTGAGCAGCTGGAGCATTGCGGAGGTGGTATGATGCATGCGCACCGGTTGGAACGGGATCTGGGAACCCACCACTGGACTGAAGTTACAACAGCACTGTAAAAAGTGACTGAGGACCATTTTTTGTACTTATGACTATGGCAGCATCCCCATGGTCATATGATCAAAATTTAGACCCTTGGCAACTGACTCGTATTTATGACAGTTGCAGTGTCTCAGGGTCATGTGACCACCTTTTGTGACCTTGTGTCAAGCAAAGTTCATGAGGAAGCCGGATTGACTTAACTGTGTTGCTAAACTGAATTGCAGTGATTGACTTAATAACTGTGGCAAGAAAGATCATCAAATTTACTTAACAAATGTCTCCCTTAGCAACAGAAATTTTGGTTGTAAGTTGTAGTCTACCTGTACTACTTTTTTTTGGGAAACATAAGGTAACTATTTAAATATAAACACAAATGTATCTATAGTTCTATAGATAGGAATCACATAATTCTGTGCTCTACTACAAGTTTCTACCATGGTTTACTTAATCTATTTTGCTGAATCTATGTGTAAGGAGTTTTATGTTTATTTTTCTTTAATTTTTTTATTATTATTCTGTGATTTCATCTTGGGCCTGATATGTTGTTTTCTACCTTGTGACATAAATATTTCAAAATTATTGCACCTACAAATGGCTAATACCCTCTTGGGTACACGTCTTACAAAGGGCGACAAAGGAAAAAAGATTGTTTTCCTATGTTTTCCTTGCAGTTTTATTTTCACTTTCGAAAGGCAGTCTTCAAAAGGAATGCTATTCTGACGTTTATGCAGGTGGAGTAATCTATTTTCTATGCTACAATTTTCTCTCCAAACTGCTTTCAATGCAGTGGTTACAGAGTTCCATACAAGTAGTGCTCAAGCTACAACCACTCATTCAACAACCATCCAAAGTTACAATGGCGCTGAACAAGGGGGACTTCTGATGGATTGTTGAAGTACCAGCTATTGCAGTGCCCTTGGAGTCTTATGGATCATGACTTCTGACATTTCCTATTGGTTCCCACAAAGTCAATGGGGAAGCAGGCAGGAAGTCGTAAGTCACTCGTGTTCCTGCCATTCCTTCACCTATCCACCTGCACTCCCTACTTTCTACCTACGACACCTGCACAGTAGCCCCTGCTTAGTAACACCTGCCTGTAGCACTGCACATACTCTTACAGCAACTGTGCACCTTCCCATGCTCAGGAATGCCTTCCTGTGGCATCTTTATACCCTTTTGTGGCACCTGCACATTCAGCTGTGCTCAGGAACACCTCCCTGCAACATCTGCAGACCAGTGGTGAAATTCAATATTTTCTACCACCAGTTCTGTGGATGTGGCTTGATGGGCGTGGCAGGGGAAGGATACTGCAAAATCTCCATTCCCACCCCACTCTGGGGCCAGCTAGAGGTGGTATTTGCCGATTCTCAAAACTACTCAAACTTTCCGCTACCAGTTCTCCAGAACTTGTCAGAACCTGCTGGATTTCACCCCTGCTGCAGACCTTCC